CTTTGAAATTTCAGCCCTTCAGCTCTTCTAGTTGCCGAGTCAGCAATTCTCCCGACAAACTTTAACATGCCCGTACTTGAGAACAACGAAACACCTAGGGGCTGCATTTGAAATCTTTAGCTCATACGTGCACAGAGAATACACTTGCAAAGATCCAGCTTTCTATCTTCTCTGGTTCTCGAGATCGTTTTCCCATCAAACCCAGGCTGGAAAGCACCAGGCGGGCCGGTGCGATTATGCGTTTTTGCATTTTATGTGTCGTAGCAAGATCGTAAGGAATCAAAGTAGCTAACCCTGTGAAATACTGGCCCTTGAAATTCGGGAAGTTAACTGTGTAACTATGTGGTATGTCAGTTGTAGATGTCGGCTTCAGTGACCCGGCAAATGGGAAGATGCTGGTCCGCAAAAAAGGCCACACTAGAAGAGTTAAAAATGAAATCTTTTAGTCCCACATAAGTAGGGAACATTCCTTTAAAATTAATGCCTTTAGCTTGTCTCGTTCCCGAATTGGCAGTTTTCCTACCAAAATTTTCACATGTCCGTATGTGATTACCGGACGGTTTTATGGAGCTGAATTTAAAATCTTTTGGTCATACATGAGTACGGAACATTCGCTTAAAGTTTCAGCTTTCTAGTTCTTCCCACTCACGGATTAGTAATTTTCGCGCCAAAATTTTCACACGCTCGTATGTAGGCCGCGGGCGCTCCTAAACAACTGATTTTACTCGTACATTAGTAGGGAGCACTCCCCCAAAGTTTCAGCTTTCTAGCTTCTCCCGTTCCCGGGTTAGTGGTTCTTGCGCCAAAATTTCCACGCGCTCGTATGGGCCCCAAGCGCTCCTAAACACCTGATTTTGCTCGTACATGAGTAGGGGACATTCCCCCATAGTTTTAGCTTTCTGGCTTCTCCCGTTCCTGGGTTAGTGATTTTCGCGTCAAAAATTTTCACGCGCCCGTACGTGAGCCCCGAGCTGTCCTAAGGAGCTGAGTTTGAAAACTTTTGGCCGCACATAAGTAGGGAACATTCCTCG